TATATATATATGTACATGTATGTATATATATATGTACATGTATGTATATATATATATGTACATATATATATATATGTATGTACATGTATATATATATTTGCCTCAGGTGATGATTAAAATTTACATGAGGAATAATGGATTAAGCAAAATGCAATTTGCACGATATCTCAATAAACAATGAACATCATATTGCCCCTATGCAAACGTTTACACGGAATACGGTTTGACATGTCGAGAAAGACATTAGCTATTTTCATGAACACATGTATGGCCACTGTCATTTACAAGACATTCCTAACGTACATTCTGTATAGAATTAAAATTATTATAGTATAAAAAGTGCAGTATTTAAAGTTAAACATGAGAGAGGGGAGGGGTGTACCTGCCTCACTAAATATGCAATGGATATCGATTATTTATGCTCATGCCCAACGTTACACTAATGTTAGGGGACTTAACCTGGTTGATGTGTTATTGCGAATTCGAACAGGCCTGTTGCGCTTACCAATTGTGTGTCTCAACCGAGATCAAGACATCGTTTAATTTTCAAAAACAAGTCAGATTGACCGAGTTTGTTGGCACTGTGAAGACGTCAGACCAATGTTAACTCGTATTAACGAAAATGCTATAATCACAGTATTCTATTTTCTCTGATTAATCTACGATGTTCTACAGTCACCTACGTAATAATTCAAGACAAAACGGTAAAAACCCATGGCTAATATAAATAATTGTTGAAAACAAGCACCGTTTAGTGCTACCTATGGTGTTTCTTATTTTTTAGATTATAAAATAGACCTTATGATCCACATATTCCTGCAGGGGTATTACGAAAGAATTGCACTATGTATTATTAAAAACACTGAGGGGTTGTCTATTACTAATACACTCTCGCTAGCAAAAGTGCTGCTGTCTCTAAACGGTGTTATGATGGAAGATAAAACGGGAATCCTTCTATAGTTCTTCCGGAATGCCAACCAATGATTATGCAATATTTATTCAAAGTGAACTGACATTTAAAGAACACGTCTCCTTATTAAAAAACACAAAAACAAAAAACTGATCACATTAGTTCCCACGATCAAGCACGAATCTTGCATGTACGTGAATATACACATAGGCTTGTAATGTGCATACAATAAGTTAAATTTAAGGGGATAACTGTTCTGTCGACTCCGCCAATGGGCATCTAACACGCATTGAAACATTCGACTGGTTTTTCTCAAAATTGATCAGACATTTAAATTAATTCATTTAGATAGGTTTAATATCAGAAGTATTACAAACTACATGTCTAGTAGTACAGTATAAGCATATAATGCATTTGAGTCAGCATTCCTTTAACAACTATTTGGCTTACAAGCAGCACCAAATACAGGTTAAACAACCCCAACCGGCGATTGTGTCTATTATAATTTTAGGCCAGTGTGAATCCTTTCCCTAGGCCCTCCTTGTTTATGTCCTTCGAAAAACTGGCCCCTTTGCCGAAAATGTTTCATTACATTTTCACTTGCTGTTTATGGGATTCCCACATGCTTAACATTTCAGTAATCTTCTCATTTGAGATACATCTTCTTAAAAAAAATACGTAGGCCTACAGAAAAGGATTCAGATTTAACTGGCGCTTGGATCATGCTTGGATTTACCACAATACCTTCGTGATCAAGGGTAATGACGTTCGCCATGTCTGTGAGTCCCGGGCTGTTGTTCTTGTAAGATTCCTCTTCTGTTGCGTTAATCTGAATGGTTTTTCGACTTTAATACATTTTAACTTTTGCCTATCAATTGTTTGTATCTCAAAAGGGAATCAGCCATCATTTTCAAAGCACTACTATTCAAGTATTGTCTTTTGCCTATATAATATATATAACGTATAAATGAATATAATTATTAAATAATTAAACTTTTATTTACACTTATAATTACAGCGAGTGATGGAGAAGGTGGGATTAAGGTACGTCACATACACAGACTACCTACATACCGTACATACAGTATAATATATAGGCCTACACTACTAATGCTCATACCCATTGCATAATCTCGAATGAAAAGACATGTGATTATATACATGCTATTATATTGGCCAATATTCGTATTATCACTTCCTTAACCAACCATTAAGCCCATACAAATGCTCGGCAAATTAATGTGTGCTTAGAAAACTGTCAAGGTTGATCCATCGAATTTCCCCAAGAACAAACGTTCGTAATGGATCGTCAATAAACAAAAGAAAATGTATCGATTGAGAAATACCAATACACTAAAACGCAAAAAATCACACGAAATCAATAGCTGATTATTACCCATACAAGTACATATACGATATTATTACTTAACACATATTTTGTTAAGGTGTAGTCGTGTGTGTCGATATTGACATGACGTTATGATTGATGGGCATTATGCTACCAAATTATTCTCGTAACAGTTATTAAAAACTCCATTTAAACCAACGAAACAATACAATATGCTTATAAAAATATACTGTACAAGTATCATCGACTTATATTTTTGTAAAAATAAAAAAAAAAACAGATAAAAAATCACCATCATCTGTGACAACAAATCCACAATTCGTCGGGGAGAAAAAAATGTGCATGTATTTTCTACATATTAGTAGACACAAAATCGATTAAATACCGTAAGCCTTTAAAACCCCTAAATTGTCATATTTTTAGGGTTCTTCGCCCCCATGGAACATTTTCGAGACATTCTGATTTTTCGTTCGGGAAATCGGCACCCACCATCATAACCACAATTATCGTCGTCGAAGCCGCCGCTCATCCTTCTTAACGGAATAATTTTCAGGAGAGCAGCAACTAAATGCATTGTAAATGCACCAAATTCGATTAAATTACTGTACATGATTAAGTTATTTAAAATTCAAATAATACTTATTATTATTGAAATAATTGTTTACTTTTATTTTATTTACTTAGGCGCACAACACATGCATCAAGGACTGTCAATCACGAATATATCCCTTTCACAAGACAAACATACACACACGATGCTTTACACAAACTAAATCTCAATATGAGGTTTAGGGAGTGGAGTTGCTTTGGTCGTGTAAAAAAATCCTGCAACACCGACAGGAATTGAACCCAATAATTAGAAGGTAAGCATCTTAACAACCAAGCTATTCAAGTCCACTCCTGAGAGATTATAGAGGGCAGCAACATTTTTTAAAGGAATATCGCATAGAAATAACGCTAGAAAATTGGACAATTCACTTATACTGAAAGTGGTAGAGAACAGAAATAAAAAGCAACAAGAATTCATGGAAAAATAACACTGTACTTTAATAACAAGTCACACATAAGATTAGTATTATAAATGTAACCACTTATGCCACTGAAATTCAGTTGTTGTGTGTGACAACTGAGTGCACTACTCATCATTGTAATGCTAATATTCATCCAAAAATTGATAGTTTTGTCCTACTGACGACTGTGATGGCATCAGAACTTCCCTCCCTGAAAGGCGGTCCATCATTCCCCAACAGATGGGCCACACACACCTCCACCCCACCCCCACATGGTTGGTAACAAACAAATAGGTTGTATCACCTTTAGATGTCTGAAAATGACACGCTTAGGCGAGCTGTCTCTGGCTTAGACAACTAATTTTTTTCACCGACAGATTTTACTGCGACTGCTGATAGCTGGACCAGTTGTCCTGACAGTTGGGACTAAGCTGGCACCACCCCTGAGCGATGCACAACAATAGGTATGTTCAGACAAGTTGCAGGTAAGCTCTAAAGTAGTAGTTTACTTGTCGAAGCCCTGGGTCCTGCCGTTAAGATGCTCCTTGTATTAGTTAATTCAAAATTACTATGGACAATTTACTTCAAACAAGTCTCAGGAGTAAGTGTACTACTTCTGCATGCACAATAAATGTAAGGAATACGCGCTCAGAGTAGCGCTATGTAGACGCACTTACTTCAGAGCTTGCAAGTAAATGCGACCTTTGTCATGACCACGCATTTTTTCAAAAGATAATTACCTACAAACGAGTGCCAAAACAACATTACCTGTGATGAATATGGAAATGACAGTGGCGATTATCACTTCCAAAAACTGTTCATAGTTACTTTACTCTAAGCTTTGAACTAGCTTTGTAAAGGACTAAAGGTGATAAAAGAAAAAGAACATTATGCCCTGGATAAGCACCGTGTGGACACTCATCTGAAGTAACGTGCGACCTATTGTAAATTTACTTCAGGCCGAAAGCCATCTGAATATGCCTAAAATAGAAGTACTTTAAAAAATAATACACACCTGTTCTTCCTAGTCATTGTACCCTGCTGATATAATGGCATATCAAAATTTTAACCACTATTTGAAAGAAAAAAATCTGATACAATGACGAAACAGAATCTCATTAAAACATTGAATTTAAATAATTGAGAAACTTAAGACACAAAATTTGTTGAATCTGGTTTAGATTTCTTTGATTCTGGTTCGTCTTCATCCTTCTGCTCATCTTCATTTGTTTTGGATTCATTGACTAGGAAGTTGGCAAGTTTTGCTAGTGCTTTCCCCCTGTGAGATATTGAGTTTTTCAAAGTGTCTGACATCTCAGCATATCTACAAAATATTTTTAAAAAAATAAATAAAAATTCACTTTTTCTTTTTTTCGCTAAAGATCAATCTAGGTGAATAAACCATAGCTTACAGCATCTTTGTTCTGAAGTGTGTATGGGCGTAGTCCGTGAATACTGTAACATGGAGAGGTGCTTTGTAGCTTTATGTTTACATCCACAACAACACAGGCTGAGTGAAATGAACCAGTGCATCAAGGTAACCTCTCACTCTTCCGAAAGATGCAATGTATTTTTGAAAGTGCATACAAGCCAGATGTATAAACTGGACTTATGTATAAACTGGACTTTTGCATTAAGTCCTTATATTAGAAACTTGGTTCTACAAACCAAACTCTGGGGAAAAAGTTTTGACTAGTTGCTTTCACACTAACATGTTTGAATATTAATATAATACTACTGAAACATATAGGCATATTATAATATAAATAAGTCTGCATATCATTTTAGTATAATAGAATAGAACATTTATATTGTGCCAGAATCCGTCATATATGATCCTCATTTTTTAATACAGTATGATTATAAGCCAATAAATTATGTTTCTTTAAAAAACAAAAAGAAAAACATAAAAGCTTTAGTTATTTATATGTAACAAGAAACTGATGTACAGGTGTCTTACGTTTGATCAAATCCATCAGGTTGAAAACATGGATCCCATCCAAATGTTGTATCTCCTCTTGGCTCTACAATTTTACCCTACAGAAATATGTCAAATTATTATTTTTAGTATTAGAATTATTGGAACTTTAACTTTTCTCTGAAAGTGCTGTGAGACCATCTGTGTAATAATAAATAAAATGAATATTCCAATTATTATTATTAAAGACATTCAGTAGCCATTGACAAATAGTTGGCAGCACTTCATGTCATGACTACTTGAATCTATAATTGATATTACAGTTATGTAATGTAATAATTGGTCTTGTTACCATGCATTACAGACTTTAACATTTTGTGGTTTTTGTTATGTGTTTTGAGTTCAGTCTATTGTGTATTGTATACTTACATTTCCCAGCCAAGGAGTATACATGGCTACCTAGATGAAGAGCTAAGTTAGTCTGTGCAAAGATTTTTGTCTTATGTGGAAGAATAAAATATTTTTGGTGTAGTGGAGATCGTTGTGGTGGTCCTTGTTTGCTATATGAATCCATTAACAAAATGAGGGGCTCTAACTCAATGTAGGCCTATATATGCATCACAGTACCATCAGACTGCAGTACGCTATATAAATACAATTAGATTCTTACCAGTGTTTTACCGTGAAACAACTTGACTTCTTCACTTGCACCAGAATTATATGCAAATGTACATAATGCATATGCAGATTTATCCTCCCATCCAGCAAGCATCCTATGAAGGCCTAAATGGAGAGTGAAATATTGTTGTGGAAAAGCAATTAAGAAAACGTAGATATATAAAATATACAGAAAATGTTAGATGGATATGGCGCTATATGAAACTACACTATTAATATTATTATGTATTTTTTTAATTGCATTTAATAAATACGTAATGTAAAATACACCTTCGTAATGGTCATCAAAATCTTGCTTAATACGCACCACCTAATAATATACTTACTGCCACTTTTGTTTTGTATTTTTAGATAGTGAAATATTACATGAAAATACAGAGATTGGTAAAAAGGTTACCTGCAGGGCCCAACTTTGCTAGAAACCATTTTCTGAAAGAAGAATTGAATAACAAATATTAACAGTTAGGTTAAGGTACATTTAGTTCAACTTTAAAGTCCTGATTCCAATCAGACAAATTGATAGAATTATTAATGTCATTAAAAAACATCTCCCACTCCAGACCTCTAAGTGATTTCAGTAGAACACTACAGGTTCAAAATCATCACTGGAGAAATAACAAAATATTATCACATGGTTAATATTATCAATACAGTATTCTATATTTTCAAAATTGTTAGCTCACAGGCTGATCAGAATACATACATGTAAGGCCCTGGAAGGCCCCCTAAGGCACTGAAACACAAACAAGTGTCCTCAACAATGATAGGTCCTTTCACCTGGAAAAAAGAAGAGGAAAATAAAATGATGTACATCAAATTCACATAAACATTTAATAATAAGCAATGCAGATTCAGTGGTGGGTGGGGTGGTGGGTGGGGGGGGGGGGGCTGGTGTGCTACTTTGAAGGAGGCACTTATATAAGGATGAAGCTTATTACAATACAAACTATTTTAGTACAGGTACTGTACTTCCACGTTTTAACAAATCTTGCATTAACCCTATATACATACATACAGTATACATAGAATAAGTATCCAGCCATTCCACATACTGTAGATCATGACAGATGAGAGAAATGCGTAGGCTAACATTCCAGGCAGTCAACAAAAGTGCAAGTCATATTTGAAGTGACATCTATTCAAAAGCAGTGCTTGAGAAATATGCTTTTTTTTTTTACTTATGATTATGATATCAATGTCAATCTTCTACAGCTCCAACTGCTACAATTTTGGTGACAAAATAATGACATGAAAAAAAAACACTGAAATGGCATGCTTTCTCAGCTTAAATTTGTCTAAAAAAATAATAATAAATACACTTTTTTTAATGAATTGCTTTGTTATATGTGATCAGATACAAATGATATGAAAAATTTAAAAAATGGTATTATTAGTTAATTATAATTATTATCAATAGTAATTAAAGTAATAGTTTAATGGTAACAGTATGAAGAGATGATGATGATTTACACAATACAGTACAGTCACTTTACCTCTTTGATTGCTTCTTTACATTTGTCAATGACAATGTCATCTGGCTCTCCCTGAAATTCAGGCACTGAAGTATAAACTTTATGTTATTCTTGTTATAGTTACAAATTACAGGTACGGTATATATTTATATAATAAAATCATGGAGGTATTCATGATAAAATCATGTCGTTTTTATGATGGTTTTCTATTTTTACTATTTAGCCAGGGGGTTCATAGTGTTTGAAAGAATCGCCTTATTTCAATGTGTGCTTCACATTACCAATTTAATAGTAATTCAGGCTCGCAGCAAACACCTACTAAAAAAAGGGGAGGGGGTGGGGTTATGGATGTAGGATTCGAAGGTTCTTGCCTTATGTGTTTATAAAAAGTAAATATATGATACTGTACATCCTGCAGTTCAAACTGAATATAATATTATAATTACTATATAAAGGATAATGTGATGGAAGAGATATATTTCTCAACCAACAACAGATCTTTTCAGAACTACCTACAAGCATTAATGTATTTTATCACCATGCAAAACTTCCATATTCGTTTCTGTAGGTGTGATCTGTCTAAAGTTGTAGGAGGTTTTGTAGAAGGGGGCAGTGGTGGCTCTGGAGTGGCGGATATATTTTCTGGGGAGGGGAGGGGGCTCAGTTGCCGACAGGGGGACTTTGGGCTCGTAGGCCCGAGCTGGGGGAAGGGTTTGAGGGGGTGTTCCCCTCCAAAATGAAATTTTTTAAATAATAGGCCGAACATCTGGATGGCCAGATGTGACACTCTCTGAGTGTGACAGACATGCGTTGGTTTGGCGTGGGCCCATTTTTATATATTCTTTTGTCCCACTGCCCGACGAGCTCTGTCTGATGGGGGCTTGACCTGTCCGGTGGGGGCGGCTTAAGCTCCTCCTTCCCCCTAGCTGGCACCGCCACTGGAAGTGAGGTGGGGGGGGGGTGAGTTTGCCCTAACTATCCCCCTGGCCACCAACATGTACTTTACAACTATTTTCTTATTAAGACTCAGAGTGACTGAAATGATTTGTTTAAGACTCACAGTCAATTTTCCGTGATACAACTTGAATTGTATCTCCAACTATAGCTTTCACCTAAAAAAATTAAAAAGAAAGTTGCATTCAAAAAATTAAGTACTTGATTAATTAATTTAGATTTATTTATTTATTCGTACAGCGATAACAATCACCACTAAATATGGATGTCATGCACAATTTGAGATGTTTGCACAATTTACAAATTATCCAAGCTCTACCTTGTACAATTTGCAAACTGTGCAAGGAAATCTTGCACAATGACATCTCTGCAAAGGATTTCTTTGCTCAATTTGAAAACTGCACAGTTTGCAAACTGTCAAGCATCATAACCTTTTTAAAAAAGACAAAATAAATAAAGTTAATACAAATTTAAAACAAACAAAAAACTCTTTAAAAATATCACTTTCCAAAAATCATTTACTGTATGAACCACTAGGCCTAGTGCGTATATCGACGTTCCATACTGCGCCTGTTATCGCCTGCAAATAGGATAATGTATTCTAATCCTTATTAGAAGCCTATTTTTAGTTTTATATTACTAAATGCATTATTAACATATTAATAACTGATTATACCTCTCTTAATTTGTTTGCATTGCCGGTTACAAATATCAACTTCCCAACTTCCTTAGACATGATGTAGTTAATGTTTATTTACTTCCCTCCACCCGCGTGTACGTTGACCTGACGGATGACCTGAGCATGTGTATTGGGTTGCCAGATGGTTGCCTGTTATCAATGTCAATTCGAGCGGATATCCGTTCGAACGGATGCATTTTTTGCGAACTACAACAAGGGCGAATTTATCGTCGCCCTATTTTTGTATTTGTTAATGCAAAAAATGCTCTGTGCACTAAAGTTCTAAAATGTTTTGGTATTTTTTAAATAATTATTCCATGTTTGAATTACAGTATTATTATTATTATTATTATTATTATTATTATTGTTATTGTTATTGTTATTATTATTATTATTATTATTATTATTATTATTATTATTATTATTATTATTATTATTATTATTATTATTATTATTATAAAGAAACGGAGAAAAAAAGAAAATGATATTCAAATTTAAAGCTATGCTCCAGAGGAAAATTATTTTTGTAGTGTTGTAGAACTGATTTTTCCAAGACACGAAAAGCATATTTGACCAACACTCGGAAGCGGCTGATAAGATAGAGATTTTTTATTATAAATGGGGAAAAGAGGGAGGTACGGACCTTTTCCTTACAGTTTTTAAATATTAAAAAAATATGTGTCTCACTAACCGCTTTTGAGTTTTTCATCTAATATGCTTTTTTGTCTTAGAAAAATAGTTCTACAACATATATACAAAGAAATTTCCTCCTAATGAGCCTGGAATTAGTCTGAGAGTGATTTCCAGCCATCTAGTTCCTGACAAAAACACCCCTAAGTTACAGGGACGTATACCGGGGGGGGGGGGAAGCCGTGGGAGCCGCGGCTCCCCCACCCTTTTTACACAGTGTTAAAATTTCAAAGCTTGTTTTTGCTAGCCAATACAAATTCTTTCCAAGGATCACTCAAAATAAATACTTCTAATCTATGTAAATATGCATCAGCACATGTTATACATACTGTATGCCTACTATATATATAAAACACATAGGCCCAAGCGTGATTTTTAAAAATCTTAAATCCGTTTAAGTCCCAGGCCAGGTCTTTCAGATACAGAATTTGATATTGTATGGTTGATTTTGGTTTTTATCGTTTTGGAAGCTCTATAAAGTTTTGATTTAATACTACAGCACTACTAGTTAATAATAATAAAAATGATAATAATAATAATAATAATAATAATAATAATAATAATAATAATAATTATGATGACAATGATGATGATGACGATGGTGATAATAGATAATAATATTAGTAATATTAAAGATTCATGAAAATTGTGCTAAAGGCGAAAAAGTAAGTTGTGATTTGTTGATCACAATAATTATAGTATAGTTAAAGCTTAGTATATAGTTAGGCCTAAGTTGTGTGGATATTATTAATCCCTGATAAAAGATTATGAAAAAATTGTTTGCGCTTGATTTTGACTATAATGGTGATGTAATGACGATGAATTTTACTATATAAAAGTGTCATTTTCGGCCATCTAGAGGTACTATTTCCTCAAATTTTCGCACCTCAGCTCCAAACATGGTGGGGCTGAGGTGGTTGTGAAATCACGGCTTTGAAGTATATAAAGTACATACTCAAAAACGATGTTTATAAGCTTTATTGTCTATGGTACATCACACATATTAAAGATCTCTAAAGTTGCCGAAAATCCCTGATAAATGATCATGAGAAATTTGTTGGCGCTTCATTTTGAGTATATATTATCAATGCCGTAGCCAGCTATTGGGACAGTTGGACAGTCCCACACAAGTTTTCTATTGGGTCCACAAAGAATGGCTGTACATTTTCAAAAATAGGTCTAAATTATGCTGTTTTAGCACAAAATGAGTCCTGATTTTGAAAAATGGGTCTCATATTTTGCGTAAAATGGGTCAACTTTTAAGAAAATAGGTACATAATTTTGAGTAAAATAGAAAGAAAATAAGTCCATACTATTTGAATTTACGCGTAAAGTGGGTCCACACTGATATTTTCCCGCATTGTTTGAAAATCCGGGCTACAGCATTGTATGTAACGGTAATGTGATGATGATGTTTTTAGGATCTGGTTTTTACATGCCCATTTTTCATGATTATGACTATTTTGGATAAAGAATGTTTTGAGCAGTGGTGGATTCAAGGTCTCCCCCTTCCCCTAAATTTTAATGAAACAAAAGTATGACCCCAAATCCAAATTTAAGTCTGAAAGTGTAATATCCGGTCATCTAGAGGTGCCCTAATCATAAATTTTCTTACTTCAGCCCCAACCATGGTCGGGCTGAGGTGGGTGGTTACGCAATTTGTAAAAGTCACTCCCTGGAGTCACATCTATTGAATTCCTGGATCCACCACTGTTGAGTTTTATATTATTGTTAGGCTTACTAATATTACTTATGATGCGTTTATTGCAATTTTCACTTTATCATTTCAGAACAGCCATAAAAACTTTCAAAGCGCACTACTTTCCAGGTGACTTCGCCCCTGGACTCCCCAAAAGGGTCCTACGTACTTTGCATAACGGCTCCCCACCCCCCCCCACCCACCACACCTTTCAAAATCCTGGCTACGTCCCTGGCTGCTATAACTCGCAAAATAAGGTGGTTTTAGGTGATTTTTAACTACTTGCAATTGATTGAAACTTTAAAGTAATTCGTATAGGCCTACATAACTCGCACAGGCTGTTGTTCGCACAAGCGAATTTTTCTCCGCTCGAACTAGCATCCGCTTTATGAATTGTCCCCGGCATTATCCCGGTGGCACCTGACCTCCCCCTTTATTTATTACTTTTTATTGCTTTAGAAATGTGATTTCAAAAAAGTAGTGCATCGTATACGTAATTAAGGGCTTGTTTTGTTGTTTTTTAACTTGCAGATTATCTTAGTATGATTGTTGGAAAAATGGTCAACATTTTATTTTGAATTCTCACCCTGACCTTCGCGCGCCTGTGCGCAGTGGGCGAAGGTCTGGATCCACGTCTAGTTAGCATGAATTTTGAAAGCCAGGACCCATAGTATTTTGTTACGTTTCTTCACAGAGGGGGTTCGTCCGAACCCCCTGAACCCCCCTGGATCAGCCACTGATAATAATATGATGAAAATTACATAGAATTACATTTGAATACACTAAAATATTACAATGTAATCCTTATACATATATTTACTTTACCCTGTTATCTGTAATTGGGGAATTTCAGAATTTTGTTTATTTTCAACAATGTGGAAAAAGTGAAACACAATTCCTGGACCAAACGAGAATATGACTTCCGGAAACATTTTTGGAAGCTATGGAGCCCATAATGGGAAGAACTACTAAACTTATTAACGAATCAAATTAAAGCAATGTCGATGATCAAAAAGATAAAAGTAAGAGTTTCTTCTTCTTTGGTAACGTATCCATCCGATCGGTACTTTGATAAGAAAGTTTTTGTAAGAAGAAATACAAAATGGGAAAAATTAAGTTGTCTAAAAGTAAAAAGCAGTCCATTACAGTCCATCTCATAAACGGCTTATATTAATTAATAATAAAGAAGACAGTTGTACTTTATCACTGTGTCCCACTATAGCCAATTTGTCAACCATTGGACACAATGAAAAAGAATAAGATTATTTTTGAAAATATTGAACAAGATATTTATAGTTTATCACTCTGTTCCTCTATAGCCAAATTAGGGCACTGAAAAAATTGTTAGATTATCACTCCCCCGCCCTCCCCACCCCCGGGAAAATTTTAAATTATTGATGTGGGAATAAAAAAAATTTTTTTCGCCGCATCAATGATTTTAACAGAACAACACAATGCTGTTTTATGACTTCAGATGCATTTCTTTAAAAAAAACCTATAAAATTAAACCAGTTTTTTATACAATATTTACTATTACTAGAAAAATATAAATAGTCCCTCTCTCATAAAAAAAAGCGCAATAACGAAATGTTCTGATTTTTAAAAAAAGATAAAGAAAAACCGCCCTCCCTCATCGTTTTTTTTTTTAAAGAGTGATAATCTAATAATTTGTTCTATGTGCCCTTAGCAGCCATTGAACACAATGAAAAAGAAAAGGATTAACTTAGAAAATATTAAAGAAGACAGTTGTACTTCATCACTGTGTCCCACTATAGCCAATTTGGCAACCATTGGACACAATGAAAAAGAATAGGATTTTGTTTGAAAATATTAAACAAGATATTTATAGAGAGCCAATTAAGGGCACATAGAAAAAATTATTAGATCACTATTTTTTTTAAAAATCAGAACAAGTGCTTCTTTTAATAGATGAGGGAGGGACTTTTTTATTTGGCAAGAATATTGTAAATATATAAAAACAGGTTTAATTTTTATTGTTTTTTAAAGAAAACGTATTTCGAATCACAAAATTACATTGTTCTTTATGCTGTTGAAAAAATGATGCGGCCAAGAAAAAGAAACATTTTTTAAAATTTCCGCATCAATATTTCCCAATTTTTTTGACGCGGGCTGGAGTGTTGGTCTAATATTTTTTTTTTGTATAGGCATAATTATGATCTGTTCATTGTGCGTTCGATTTTGATAATGACAGGAATGATAGGAGCACCGTGTGATCAATGTGCGCCAAAATAAATAGATGATTAACATAAAAAAAATAGGATGATGTTTATTTGTACAATACTGCTATTGTTTCTAAAATTTGGTGGAGTAATGTATTTCACGTGATTATCATTGGAAAGTTATTGATCTATTAGTAAATTCTATAGTCTGGTTGTTGTACGCATATAGGCATATTTTTTACACTTTTCACTTTATTTCTTTATTCATGTTCTTTGCAATTCATGACAAAGTAAACTCAACCATACATATTCAAAAACAGAGCGACGAAAAGGACCCCCACGAAACTCTTTGGAGCTTTTAAAATGGAGACCCGGTGTTAAAATTAAAGTTTGTTTAGACATAAAGACAGTATATAACTGAATAACTACAAAGATACACCCCCCTCTCACCCCAACAGTCATATTTATTTGATTTACATTTATTTTGAACATTGCTATTAGGACATTGTTTAAATCCACACTAGCCTATATTTTACAGTCGGCAACACCAGAGACGTTCATTTCCA